CACCCCTGGCGGCTCCCCTTAGGGGTGCTGAAACCAGCGCCCCGCCTGAGACATCCTCACAATCTGCTCTCCAAGCGAAGGATGTTGAGCCCAGAAACAAGCAAACCGCCTGAGACATCCCCACAAAATGGCCGCGAACGAGCCCGTGCAACCACCCCTGGCGGCTCCCCTTAGGGGTGCTGAAACCAGCGCCCCGCCTGAGACATCCTCACAATCTGCTCTCCAAGCGAAGGATGTTGAGCCCAGAAACAAGCAAACCGCCTGAGACATCCCCACAAAATGGCCGCGAACGAGCCCGTGCAACCACCCCTGGCGGCTCCCCTTAGGGGTGCTGAAACCAGCGCCCCGCTTGAGACATCCTCACAATCTGCTCTCAAAGCGAAGGATGTTGAGCCCAGAAACAAGCAAACCGCCTGAGACATCCCCACAAAATGGCCGCGAACGAGCCCGTGCAACCACCCCTGGCGGCTCCCCTTAGGGGTGATGAAACCAGCGCCCCGCTTGAGACATCCTCCAAATCTGATGTGTGTTGAGTAAGTCTGAGTATGAGTAGGTCTGAGTATGAGTATGCCTGAGTACGAGTAAGTCTGTGTATGAGTAAGTGTGTGTATGAGTAAGTCTGGGTATGAGTGGGTCTGTGTATGAGAAAGTCTGTGTATGTGTACGTCTGGGTATGAGTAAGTCTGAGTATGAGTAATACGGTGTATGAGTAAGTCTGGTATGAGTAAGTCTGTGTATGAGTACGTCTGGGTGTGAGTAAGTCTGTGTATGAGTAAGTCTGTGTATGAGTATGTCTGAGTGTGAGTAAGTCTGGGTATGAGTAGGTCTGAGTATGAGTAAGTCTGAGTATGAGTAAGTCTGAATATGAGGAGGGGAGGAGGAAAGAGGAGGAGGGAGAGGCAGTAGGAGGCGTCCAAGTAATAACAATAACCCCATCTTAGGATATGGGGAACAAGAATTTCCCTGGGGTCAGAGAGGCCTTCAAGGGCACCGTGGGCCTTGACCTTGTGAACCGAGAAGGAGCCCTTGATGTCTTGCTTCAGGAAACGCCAGATATCCCCCATCGTTGAACGACCATCCCAAGCACGAGATTCAGGAGCCCATCCTTTGACCAGGACAGCACAGTCCGCATGCACTATTGCTGGAGGCTGGCCCTCGGGTATCCTGCAGGCACAGTGGAACAAGGCAGCATGCTCTCCACGTGATGCAGTCTGAGGACAGGCTGCGGGTGCGTGTCCGAAGACTCCTCTCGCCAACTCGCCCGCATCTGCAACCTCTGCAATCCCCCATCCTGCCCGAGCAAGCACAGTGGAGGTAGGGGAGAGACAAGAGCCGCCCACAAACAGCTGCCTGTTCTGGTCGAACATGAAGGGCTGGATCTGCTCTAGCTCAGCATTGACAAAGACTGGCGACTCTTCAGGGTGAATATCAAACTCGACCGTGGGCCTAGCAGTCCACAGCCTGCTGAAGAGAGGTGAGGTGGGGCCGGCAGCAAGGGCCTCCTGCACAAGCTCCTCCTTAACCTCCCCCCTCCTGAGTCTTCCCAGGAATCCATCAGCTCCTTCACACTCCCAGCAGCGATGCCAGACCGTCCGCGCTTGAACTGCGCCTTCACCCAACCTCTGTATCTGAACCCCTGTTCTGGCGAGCAGCCACCATGCGCGGTCTGTCTCCGCGGACGGCGGCAAGAAGAGGAATTTCCCAGACCGCATGCTTACGCACGGCCGCCAGCGCCCTCCTCGGCAAGGGATGCGACATGTTTGGTCCCATTCCTGAACACGTCGGGATGCACTTCAAAATGCTGGCTACGTCCTGCGTTCGGCGCCCGTCGAAGTCGCCGTGCTAATCTCAAAACTCTCCGCTCCCGCCTCGAAGCGTCTTCGATCAAAAGCGCGGACATGGGCAGTGCGCATGCGGCGTGCACAGCCGAAGCTTGTCACGCGTTTTATCCACGCGCCCAATTTCATGCTGACGCTGCCAGGGCGTTTAGAACAAGGCTGGTTTGCAGAATGCATCACCTCTGCCCTGGTGAACCGCGGTTGGAGTTGAAGCAATGCTGGGCCGACGCTTTCCTGTCGATGGAAACGCCCAGCCGATTGATGACACCACTGTTCTGGTACTGCACCATAGTCCCGTTGATTTGAGCACTTACTTCCGGCGACTGCTCGGCAGCAGAGCCCGCAGTAAACGCGGCGAACGAGGAGGGCTTCCACTGCCAGCGGAACCTGCCGATTAAGTCCGCCAGCTCGGCAACCGCGCGTTGAAGCATCGCGGTTGATCGAGCGAAAAGCCACGCGTTGTCTGCAAACTTAACAAGGGATAAACAAACGCTACCAGTTGCCCATAACGCGACACCTACGCGAGCATCCTGCAGTTGGCACCTTCGACATCACGGCCCTGCACGCAAACCCTCTGCAAACTGAACAGCGACGTGCGGCCCGCATCTGGTATCTCTATGGCCCCGCTGAGGTCGCAAAATGCCTGTATGACTGCACGAACGAAGGCCGCGTTCACTCCAGCATCCTGCAAGGCCCACTCGACGTCCTGAAACCAGACTTCGGCGGATGCGTTTCTCAAATCCTGCTCGCCAATGTAAAGGCAAAGACCCCGACGACCAGCATGAGCGACGGCCTCGAAGACGCGCGCGAACGCGTCGTCCGTAGATGCACCCTCGGAATAAGCGAGCGATGGGATGTTGAGCGGTTCAAAGCCATTTGCATCCCAATCAATATGAAGTCAGAAAACTGTGCCACGGAAATTTCCTTCGGGATGCCCCTGTGGACGCGCGTTCGCCATGAGACCGGAACTGCCAGAAAAAAACATCCGAATCGAGACCTGAAGAACTTGACCACATGAACTAAGAAAGGAGCCAGCAAATTCTTCAAAACGCTCGGCGGGATGTCGTCGATGCCGCACGTCGCATCATCCCATAAACTCATGTCGTGCAATATGGAACCCGTCAGGTTTTCGACTTCACCTCAGACCGCAGAGTTTCCAGGCGATGGCGCTGCACAGCTACAAAGTCCCCCTCGTCGCAGAATGTGTTGTATCCGAAGGTATACATGCTGTCCAACAATGCCTGCCGACTCGATGAAAGAATTCCTTCGCAAGACGTATGTGCGGAAAAAGGGTTCTCATTGCGTCTACTTTGTTTTTGAAAAGCCTGCATGCGTTTTTTTACCGGTTCCCGCATGCGCGACGTCTCCGGCACAACCGGTACTGCGCTAAACGGGCAACCTTTTCGTCCCCACAGCAATGATGAAGTTTCCGCCTCAACGCGGCTTTCGATGGCGAGCCATCGCTGTTCGGGCACCCTTCTGTTTCATGGCGTGTTCAACCCATCCCATAAGACGGTAAAGATGATCTTGAAAGTCCCCAGCAGAGGAAATACTCGGAACAGCCTGCACGCACAACATATGGAATTCAGCTTGCGCTCGAAGGTTTTTAGGACGCTATCCCATCATAGTCGGTGTTATGTTGTAGAGGCACTCGCGAAAACTATATATATATATACATATACATATATATATATATATACAGACGCCCATACAGGATAATGATCGGAGACAGAAAACGGCTTACCTGGATTATGGAACACACATGATACAAATACATGCCAGAAGAAGCACAACAGTAGTCAATCTGGGACCGCTGTCTACCACGCGCCTGCGTTACAATATCATCCTCGAAACCATTCCCACGTTGAAAAATGTTAGCGGCGACCAAGCTCAAAAGCGACATCAACCCTATCAACTTTCTCTGCATCTGGGCAACCCGGAGGTATCGTTTTCGCACCAACCATGCTCTCGAAGCATCGGGGGAACGTCACATTGACATCAATGCATGCAACAATGTTGTGGCGGCCTGCCAGCACTGCGCATGCGGTTGAATGGAACAATTATATACTCTTAAGTTTGATGCAATACACCACCATCGTCAATGCCTAACTGAGGATCTGTCACGTGTACTGATCGCTCTCGCACGCTACTAAATTGCACGTCGGCCCGTACTCGTCCGAAACGATATCTCGCAACAGAGTCCTGGGAAGCAGAAGTCCACAATCGCTGTCCCAGCGCGTGCGCAAATAATGAAACCTGAGGTTTTGGGGCTCCCATCGCTGAATATTCTGTAAACAAACAACCCATCGTGGGAAATGCTCGGCAACATATTTCACAAACTGTTTAACTCTGCCCGCCTGTTTTTTGCACGAGCTCCACTGTAATATTTTGACATGTTCACCAATAGACATGCTCCGAACAAATGGTAAATTCCGTCACTGATCCGACCACCCTCTGCAAAAGGAAAACGATACCAGTCCTATCACTGATGATGACTTCCGCGGGAGAGCTGCTTCAAGCCGCACCACAATGACGACAATCAAAGAGGCCATGGCTGGGACAGACCGCGGCGCTGGGCAACGGTTGAGCCAGGCTTGAACCACGGCGGCCGCTTGAGCCAAAATGGCTTGAGTCAAAATGGTTTGAGCCAAATTGGCTTGAGCCAAAGACACTCGCGCGATCATACTCTGCAGAATGCCCCTCGCACTCTACACAATAACAATATACTCTCTGTGGTCGTGCTCCCTTCGGTATCATCAAGCGCCGTGGAAGGTCTTGTGCCGCGAAGGGCGCAATTTCTTTTGAGGCAAGCGCGAGGGGACAATAGTGAAGGGGCCCCAGGACACACAAATAAATACACACAAATAAAAGGATTCCCCATATCTTCTGATATTTTGGAGGTTTTTTGTCTCCCCCCCCCACACTTCCCATATTTTCCCATATTTTCTGGGGAATCGACGATTCATTGTGTCTGTGTTTTTTCCCCTCCCGAACAATAGGGAAGACAGGAGGAGGAGGAGGAGGAGGAGGAGGAGGAGGAGGAGGAGATAGGGGAAGGGGAGGAGGGGAAGGACGAGGACGACGAGGAGGAGGAGGAGGAGGAGGAGGAGGAGGAGACAGCAGGCAAAGCGCAGGGGCGGAGAAGGCGAAAAGGCTGGCTTCCCTGCGGTCTGGCATGCGCTTCGCGGCGGCCGTGGGCGCCATCGCGGGGCCCTCCACGCTCCCCCCCGCGCTGGGCGCCGGCTCCTCAATGCCAACCTTGGAGGCCTGGAAATGGGCACCAACACCAAGACAGGGGGCTGCCTCCACAGGGGGGAGACGATCCCAGACTTCGGTGTTGGTGGTAATATTTCGGTCACCTCGGAAGCCAGAAAATTACCACCATCACCGAGATCGGGATCTTCTTCCCTGGGTGGAGGAACACCGCCAATATTGGTGTTGGTGTCAACTTCTAGGCCTGCGACAACCCCTTTCTGGCTCTTGTCCGCTGCACCTCCTGGCCTCCCTCCCTCCCTACCGTCGGGGCGTTGACCTAAGGAACCCTACATAAGGAACGAGGCCCCTATTTTCCATAAGTTGAACTTCGATTTCGTATCGAAAACCTAAGGAAAGTCCAAAGCAAGCTGCAGAACAATCAAGGAATACCGAGCCCCTCCCCAGCGAAAAGGGTTCCTTCTTCAGGGCCCCGACTGTACTCCTGCGTCCCAACCCTCTCCTTCGCCAAAGACGAAGCAAGAAGCGAGACAGCATCGGATCGCGGTACATCGGGGGTCTCTGGCCTCCAGGGGTTCTGCAAGATGATGGGGCGACGCGGCCGTACCAGAGGGTTCCGGCACGATCTGAGAGCGTGCCGGCACGCTCTGGAACAATATACAGTCAAAACGTATATTAAGGACGCGTGGTAAGGACGCAAGACCCCTGGAGGCTGAAGTTGGGATTTTTGTTGGGCGGCGGCGACCAGTGAAAAGGGCAAAGGACGGGCCACAGAGGCAAGGACGCAAGCGTATCCTAGATGAAGGCGCGCGTCCTTACTAGGCGCGTTGACTGTATCGCGATCCCACGTCCCTCCGCGGAATCAAACGCAAGTTTTTTCTCCCCCCAGCGTGGCGGCGCCCCTGGACCCCAGATGCCAATGCTCGCACCGAAGCCGCTGGCTGCCATGTTTCTCTTTCGGACCCCGCGGGCCGCGTTGCGAACACACCGCTGAACACTGAAGCTGGGGGGCCAAAGGGAGTGGACAACAAAAAGGATGTCCGTTGGACTTCGCGGAGCGTTGTGGGCCTGCCTAGTGTTATGTCGGGCGTGTCCCCCTCTACAGGGGGATTTTCGACGAAAACATAAAAATACCCCAAACATATTCCAAAAAGGCAAAACAAAATTTAAAAAATGCCCCCCAGACTATTTTTGCATTATTGTTTAACTATTTTGGTATATTTTTAAATTTTTCGTCGGCAATCCCCCTGTAGGGGGACAGGCCCGACATAAGCCGAATGTTTCCTTTCTTTTGCGCCTTCCCTGCGTCCCTCCGTCCGCCCGGTCTGGGCGTCCTTCCCGCCCCTTTGCCCACATCGGGCCCTCGATCCACTACGTGTCTGGGGGACCACGCCGAGCCGTCCAGAGAAGAAGGATAACACAGCGCAGGCGATGTCGATCCCAAAATGGACCAGGTGGAGGGCCTGGCACGGGGCGGTCCGTCGCTCGCGGGGCACAACCTCGACATGCGTTCTGCGCGAGTTCGGCCACGGTTATGACTTCAATCGCAACGTGAGCGCAGAACAGATTGGTACCATGACCATGCAGTGCGTTTTCTTCCACGTGTTTCGTAGGGTTCTGGTTTTCTTCCCTGCCGCGTCGCACACGCGACGCTCACTCACCTCCCTCTTCCCCTCCTCCCTCTTACTCTCCTCAGCCACACGCAACACCTGCACGGCACGTGCATGAGACACGCGTCTACATACAGCCGCACGCACGCACACACTCGCAAACACACCATAGTACAAAGCTAGTGCACGCCTGGCGTGTTTTGCATCATACACCCACGACTGCATCTTGGGGAGCCTGTTGGTGCGTGCCGTCGTCGTCGTCGTCGTCGTCGTCGTCGTCGTCGTCGTCGTCGTCGTAATGTCGTCGTCGTCGTCGTCGTCGTCGTCGTCGTCATCGTCGTCGTCGTCGTCGTCGTCGTCTTCGTCGTTTCGTTTCGTCGTCGTCGTCGATTCAAGAGGGCACTTGAGGCAACTTTGTGCGAAACGATCTCCAGAGGGCCGCGAGAAGGCGATCAGTCATGTTCCCAATCAACTTCCCAAACAACTCTCCTGTAGCATGATGGTATTTCGAAGCCTCTGGAGACTCGCGGGCCCATGATGAACCATGTCCCCAGAAGGCCTTCTGGGGACATGGTTTGTTGGGGTGTGTTGGGAGGTCTCTTGGGCGTTCCCTGGGGACCCCTTGGGGGCCTCCGGGAACTTTCGGGCCCATGATGAACCATTTCCCCGGAAGGTATTCTGGGGACATGATTTCTTGGGGTGTGTTGGGGGGCCTCTTGGGCGTTCCCTGGGAGCCCCTTGGGGGTCTCCTGGGGTTTCCTGGAGGCCTCTTGGGCGCCTCACGCGGCTTCGTGGGAGCCTCTTGGTGGCCTCTGGGGGCCTACAAGTGGCCCAGGGCCAGAGACCTCGAAATATCGGTTGGCGGTCCCCCTCTGGGACCTCTCTTGGGGAGCTCTTGGGGCACAATTGGGTTGTCTGGGGAACCTCCTGGGCCGTCTTGGGGCCCTCGTCGGGGCCTCGTGGCCCGTCTTGGAGCGATCTGAAGGGCCTCCGAGCGAGGCCGTGAGGGAGAGCTGGGAAACGGGGAAAGCGAGAACGCCTAAATCCTTATGATCCCGGCAAAGCAACCTAACAGCCATGTGTATGAGCATATATGGAAACGTTCTTCTTTAGATGCATGTTCGGATTTGACTGGGAGCGAAACGATGCGATCAATAGTGGGCGTGTCTGCAAGGGAGGCACTACGATCAACGAGACAGCACATTCTTTTTGTGCTCATTCCAAACGAGACGCTGCTATTCAGGGGTGAAGGTGCAAACGAGACGCTGCTATCAATGGTTACCGCCCCAAACGAGACACGAGTATCAATGGATTTAATTTCGAACGAGACACTACTACTTACTACTACGGATGCGTCTGGAAACGAGACGCTGCTATCAATAGTGGATGTCTCTGCAAAGGAGGCACTGCTATCAACGAGACAGCACATTGTTTTGTGTTCATTCCAAACGAGACGCTGCTATCAATGGGTGTAAGTCCAAACGAAACACTGCTATCAATGGATTCAGCCTCAAACGAAACGTGCTGAGGAGCACCGTATCTCACCATCCACGGCTGCACACGAGTGCAGGTTGAGAAGCACCGCGCGAATGCAGGCTGAGAAGAACACCGCGAATGCAGACGGCCAGGGTGAACAGCACCGCCACAAAGCAGGCTGCATCTCAGGGCTCCTCAAGCTCGCGCAGGCCAGCCCAGCGCCTGTCGGGCCTTCGCGCAGGCGATTTTTGTCGTGGCAATCTCGTCTGCGAAGAATTCGTCGAAGGCCTTCGCGATCTGTTCTGGGGGGCCTGACTCGATGATGCTCCGGTCAGGCAAGCCGTGGCTCAAGAGCTGGCCGAAGCTCCGGGGCCGCGACAGGCTGACGTAGTAGGCCAGCCAAATGGACTCTTTCTTGAGTCCTGGCGGAAACGTCCAGTGCACGATGAAGCCTGAGTCCGCCGTCTTGCCCTGCACGCCATGCAGAGTACCCTGCTTCTTGGGCACACGGCTATCAGAGGCAGAGGGGAAATTGGATTGTATTAAGAGTGCGGGAGGCTTCGAACGCCTCAGTAACAGCGCTAAGAACACATGGGCGGGAAGCAAAGGGTAGCCCGGGAATGGAGGTCTGGGACCTCGATGAACACGAAGTTTCCTACAGCTGGCTCCGGGCATTCAACATGTATCCCGGGAATGGAGTTCTGGGAACTATGTGGCCCGGGAATGGAGTTCTGGGAACTCGACGAACACGAAGTGGCCTACAGTTGGATCTGGGCATACTAACTACTACTACTACTACTACTACTACTACTACTACTACTACTACTACTACTACTACTACTACTACTACTACTACTACTACTACTACTACTGCTACTACTACTACGACTACGACTACTACAACACTACTACTACTACTACTACTACTACTACTACTACTACTACTACTACTACTACTACTACTCTACTACTTCTACTACTTCTACTACTTCTACTACCACTACCACTACCACTACCTACTACTACTACTACTACTACTACTACTACTACTACTACTACTATACTACTACTACTACTACTACTACTACTACTACTACTACTACTACTACTACTACTACTACTACTACTACTACTACTACTACTACTACTACTACTACTACTACTACTACTACTACTACTACTACTACTACTACTACTACTACTACTACTACTACTACTACTACTACTACTACTACTACTACTACAATTCCCCGAGGGGGTCGTCGGAAACGCCAAAGGCGTTGAAGTCCGAGGAGGAGAAGAGAAGGAAAGGACGGATAGGGAGGGTTCGGAGGCCCCTGGAGGGGGGATGTGCCCATCCGAGGGAACGGTGCACCCCCCCATCCCCGCCGTAAAACGAAGCACCAGCCGTGCCCCCCCCCCCTCCCCCCCGATCCCCCCCGCGACCTGAGTAGACCACCCAAGCCAGCGGGGAACGTCATAGGGGGCGGGGGTTCTGACGTCGATGAAAGAAGAAGGAGGAGAGCGGGAGGCAAGGAACAGGCAGACGAAAGCCCTTTTAGGCTTCACCCGGCGTGTGGGCATGCCCTTTTTGGCTGTTGCGGGGGCAAGCCCGCGCGGTCGCCCGCAGGCGACAGGGCGCCCTGGCACTCTTCGTGAGCGCGCAGGCGCGTGGCGCACTTCATGCGCATGATTGCCCGCTGAAGCGCCCCGCGGCACGACAGCGACGGTAAAAGGACAAATTCGGTGACGCTGGAGCCCCTAATGCGACGAAGAAGCTACAGATGCATCTTCTGCGGCACTGGAGCTCCACAGGACAAGTCGGCTCAGCCTGCCTCAGCCTCAGCCTGCATCAGCCTCAGTCTCAGCCTCAGCCTGCGTCAGTCTCAGCCTGTTGCGCTCCCGCATACTCCTTCGGCCTCTGCCTGCCTCAGCCTCAGCCTGCATCAGCCTCAGCCTCAGCCTCAGCCTGCCTCAGCCTCAGCCTGCTGCGCTCCCGCATACTCCTGCGGCCTCAGCCTGCATCAGCCTCAGCCTGCATCAGCCTCAGCCTCAGCCTCAGCCTCAGCCTCAGCCTGCCTCAACCTCAGCCGCACCTCCGATGGCGCCGAAGTGGCTCCCGTGCGTACCTGCACCC